TCCCTCTCTCGCTGTGTCTCTCTCTGTCAAATAAATAATTTTTTTTTAAAGATTTTATTTATTTATTTGACAGAGAGAGAGAGACAGCGAGAGCAGATAATGCTATGGTCCCTAAATGTCCTAACGCTGTTGCCTCATCCTAGGAGTTAAATGTCAAACTGTTCAGTCCTGATACTGCCAGGACTAAATGCAATATAGTTCTTGTTATAAATTTTAAAGGCTTCTCGTCTTGTATATTTGTGATGAGGAATACCAGTTACTGTCAGGTGTTATCAGTGGTCGAACTCTTACTGAAATTGCACCCCGAGAAAGCTGGAAGTTACCGTTTGCAAACACTAGTCCATGCAAACCAAGATACTATCAATCCTGGGCACTAAAGCAATATACTGAAATAAAGTGATGAAGACTGAACCTGCATCTAATCCCAATTTCAAGTCCGAATTTATCGAGTCAAACTTTTGTACTAAACTTTTTTTTTTTTTTTTTTAGCTGAGACTCCGTGTACACATCTAATTGCAAAAGGACTTCCACGATTTTTTTTAAAAAGTTGTTTGTAAAAACACTACTGCTTAATGAAGGAGAGCTACAAGTGTGATCAAATGAATGTTTTTAAAAAAGGCCGCGGATAGAGACCAAAGGCTTGAAAGCCCAGTAACGGCGCAGTGGGAGCAGGCGGCGAGAAACGCTGGAAAACTCGGGGCAAGGATCCCCGACTCTGCGGACAAGGTTAAAGGAGACGACAAACACAATCCAGGGGCCTGACCCCGAGCTCCCGACCCTCACATGGCGGAATCCGCACGCAGGGACCCACCTTTAGGACCCCGGCCGGACCCGAAGCTTCATCCTCCCGCCACAGGCGAAACTCTCTGCCCCTTTTCGGTCAGGCGCAGGAATCCACGGCCGCTTAAGAGGGCTTACTAATTTCTCTCAGGGACGCTGGCCGCGTGAGGGTTCTCAAAGGAACTTCGACGCCAAACGGTCACACAGGCCCCGCCCCTTTCCCGCCGCACTCTGCGGCCGAGCATGCGCAGCGCAGGTGGTCGGGCGGGGCCCACGTTCCCTTGGCTACAGAGGGCGGGGAAGAGCCCTTAGTGCTGCCCAGGGTCTGATCTTTGAAGCCGTCCTACAGGGCCCCAAATTTGGACCCTTAAATGCTGGGGCAACGGCGGGATGGACCCAGAGTTCAGGCGCGGCATTTGGATTTACTGGATTCGAGAGATGGGTCTATTAGCAATTTCTGTAAATCCCAATTTCTTCATCCTTGAAATGGGGTTTATTATAGTGCCTTTGCCATAGGCATGTGAAGATTGGAAAGGCAATGTTGGTAAAGTTCCACGTACATAGTAAATTCCCAGTAAAAGGAATTATCTGCAGCGATGGAGAGAGGGTTCAGGCTTTTTCCATTTTGGGGCACTCTTCGTATATTAAAAGAATCCCAAAAGAGTGTGCAAAAATCATGGTGTGTTTTAAATGCTACTTAACAAATTAACACTTTCAACACCTAAAAAAGTATAGGATCAAATAATTGTGCTATTCTTTTTTTTTTTTTTTTAAGATTTTATTTATTTATTTGACAGAGAGAGACACAGCGAGAGAGGGAACACAAGCAGGGGGAGC